TTTACATTTTTTCCCCTAGATGGCGATACCACCTCAGCATAAGAATGTCTCATAACAGAGGTTTTCAAACTCAAGCTTCGCGATAATTAGCAGATTGTAATTTTTCAAAATTTTTAATTATAAGAGATTTTAACTCACCGTTCATATTACATTTAGATGCAAGTGCTGTGTTGATAGTATCATAATGTTTTTCAAGAGACGTGTAAAACGCGTCAAGCTCTTTATCCGGGCCATGTGCGCTCCTCTGATGTAGTGATTGTAGTCGGTTTTTCCCTTTCCGTTTAATAATGTTGCTTATTTAGCACGTAGAAATTTTAATACCATGCATTTCGCAATAATTTTGAATTATGGAATTGAATTATTTCTCTTCGTAAAGCGCAAAAACATATCCGTCCACCCGCAGCTTGTTTGTATGTGAGATTTTGAAAAAAGAATAAATTAAAAAAAAATAACAGATGGCATTTGTCATTTCAAATAACAAGCAGTTGCCAAAAATTTTATTCCAAAACATTTTTTTTTAATTCTTTATCCTAATCGTTCTAAAAACACGTAAACGACCTCTGTGCAGTACAGTCCTATAGATTTGGTTTTGTATCTATTTGATGAGAATTGGATAATTGAAATGTACACTCTGCACACACACACAAAATGTAGATAAGTTCTTTATCTTCCGTTTTACTATGCCGATTGACGAAGTTTAACTTGCGCTTTTTATGTCTCGAAAGTGCGACATTTTATATATTGCATTGTTCTAACACAAAAATGTGACTTTTTATAAAATGACATACAAATTTTTTCCCCTATTTGGATTCTAGGACTCAAATTATGCCAAAGTGTCAAGTTTTGTAAAAAATCGCATGAGTATGATTTTATCGCATGAGTAATTTTTTAAAAATCTCAAAATTTCAGCTCCTCAGTCCTAATTGAATTTGGTATATATATATATATTAATCTCTCTTTTTTATTAAACGTACTCGATTACTTCTCTCACATATCGGAATTGAAATTCAATCCAAATAAAATCCTGATATTTTCTGATTTATTTTTTAAATTTGTATTCTTTAGTAAGTTTCATAAATTTTCGAAAAATGTTTTTGAATTGTAATCTATAAGTTTCTTACCATCATCTTAAAGTAGACGTATTTCTTAGGTATACAAGCAAAAAATTAGCTTTTTATTCAAAATTTCCAAAGATATACGTGTCTTTATGAAAATAAGAGCGTTTTGAAATTTGGCAAATTTGTAATAAGCGGTAGTAACGCCAAATGTGCTTTACGCATTTTGTTACAATGATTTGAAGAAAAGAAAGATACACCTTTTTTCCTGTTCATGCACAATGTAAAAGGAAAATAGGTTTTTATAAATTAAGAATTTCGCCAAGTGACTTATTCTTGGTGTAAACTAAAAAGAAATAGCCAAGATAATTTTTTTAATTTCTCAGTAAGTTTCTTACCAAATTTTACAAAATTTAATAATTAGATATAACTTGAGACATAGAATCGGAATATGGAAAAAAATCGGTATGTCATTTCCGGAAAGGTCCGATTTTGTGTCAAAATACGTATGGTAGAATAATGTTGTATATAAATCTAACATATTAAGTCACGCTTCCGAAACGTGAAAAACGAAAATTAAATTTTGTCGATTGGCCCAGTAGAACGAGAAATATAGAACTGTCGCCCCTCCTTTTTTTGTGTAGAGTGTAGAAAAGCTTCACACTGGTTTTTCGGCGATTAAAGTAAAAGTCAAAGCAAAGATTAATGTGGATGGTTACCCATGCCTGCTTGTCAGAGTAGAAAAATTGCTGCTTTCTGTGAATCAATATTTTTTCAATTGCTAGAATGGCTAAACAAAATAATTTTCGAAGCAGTTTTGAATTATTATGAAATCATTTAAGCGCTTGGTTCGTGAACGTTCGCACGAGTTAACTTGTAAGATTCTCAATGTACTTCTCAGTTACTATAGAATCTTAAGAACTAGTTAGCGAATAATCGCTTAAGTTCGTGTAACAAGAAAAAACAAGAGGGAAGGGTTTATTATTCCAATAAGATTTAACAAAACTCCGTCTTGGAGTGTACAATCAAAGCCGACACTTGGGCTTAAACTTAAGAGACTAAAAATTAAACTAAAACTAAGATTAACTAAAGAAATAAAGCCGAAGCTATGAAGATTCTAATCGAGTTGGCTCCTTAACTCTATTTGATTACGAAGCTTATCAAGGGCCTGAGTACGGCCGAGCGTAATAACAGCTTTGAGAGAGAGAGTAACTAAAAGGAAGACGCGCGAAATCACCGCTCCTCCTCATTAAGTATTCAGAATGATTCCAAAACTACGTTCTGGCCGGAAGTAGTAAGTTGAAGTTAAGAGTTTGACAGGAAAGGAACTTAAAATTTAACTGTTAATAAAATTAACATAATCCTTACAAACTTCAATATGAAATCTTGCTCAAGAAGCTTTTGTTGCCATTCTTTTGAATGGAACTGCAGTGAAATCGTTCATAACGTAAAATTCTGCCACGTTTTGCTTAAAAATCCTAGCAATTTTCAAAATTACGTAATGCATAATATTTTAAATAAACTTCTTGAAAGTTTGATAAAAGATTTAAATTTTAAACGAGACAAAATCTCAGAGACTGTTTTTCTAATTGTAATATATATCTGGTTTAAAATTTTATACTTCTTTGAGATCTTTTATAATTTCTTTGCTGGTTGATGAATTTTTCCTGAATTGAGTGAAAATTTGATTTGGTTAGTAATTGTTTAATGATACTTCCAGTCAAAAATCCTTCACAGTGTTCTCTCTCTTTGCTCTCTGGTCTCAATCAAAAATCCCTACAAAAAGAGGGACCATTTGCAAGACCAGTGCTAGTGACCAGCACATTTCTGGGAACGGAATTTTTCGCTGGATATTGGAGGCGTGTAAAGAATTATGTGATTCTGAATTGCAGTCCGAATTAAATTAAGGAATAAAGTAGCTTTTATTCGAAGTAACGTATTAAAATAAATTAACCCGAGATTACAACAGCTACATACTGCTGTTGTACCTTTGTACCTTTTTTATTCCGTGGAAACTTTTGAATGAAAATTACTAATATTAAAGTATGATCACGGTGACATTAGTAAGTTAAGGTGATCACGGTGATATTAATAATAATGAGTTATCTAAATTATGATCCTCGTTAAGGGAATAATTCAGAGTTTTATTTACATCATTGATAGGAAAAAGGAAACAAGAACGTTAACATGCGGTCTTTTTGAACTTTTGCAATTTCATTCTAAAATGCAATCTCCAGGACGAAGTCCGAAGTATTGCAATACTATTGAGAAATTTCTTCAGTATAGCTATTTATTCCTGACAGTTGTAAGTACTATTTGTGAAAAGAATTTTCTAGATAAAATTAATTTAAGAAATCCAAAGTTTATTTTGCATTTAAGAAATCTTTCTATACTGTCTACATTACAGCAGCTGGAGCAATGAAGCAGACCACTGATATATCAGCCAGGTTATGAAGACCAGAAAACAAGCAATATAATAATATAATTTTAAAATACTGGAATAACATTTTACTGCAAAAATAAAGTTTAAATTTATTTCCCTGTATGTCATTTTGGCATTTTTTAGTTTTTTTATTTGTATATCAAAAGGGGCGGCAAAATTCTAGCTGCGTTAATGGGCAAGGCTATGTCATTTAAAATTTCTACTAAAGAGACTGACAGTTTATATCACCAATGCACATGGCTGTTGCCATTCGGTAAAATATAAGATATTAATCTTTCAATTTTAATTAACAAATTCCGGTTTTTAAAAGAATGTGTTGACATTATCCAAAATAAAATATACTTTTATCTTCCACTCAACCAGCGTACTATTCAGTAAAGCGTAAGATATTTAACTTTCAAGTTTAGTCTATCTGATATTCGGTAACAAACAAAACGATTTAAAAGCAATAAACTCAGTTCTTAAGAATATTTTTACTGTTTCTTATCTGATTTATTTAAATAAAAATGCATTTAAATCACGAGATGTCTAATTAGAATCGTAAATATTTTTATGAAAATACACTATTTGAACTCATTAATATTATATGTTATAATAAATTTATAAAATGATTAAGTTCATTATTTATAAAATCATCACATTTTTCTTTTTTATGATAACGAGTTTAGAAGCCAGCCACGCAAGCCATCAGTATAATACTTCATCTGTCCCATAATAATAGTAGTAAGTGAATATTTAAATTCACCTGGGAATTACTGGCAAATGAAGACAAAAAAATAAAAGCGTGGACGCCATTGCAAAGATTATGGAGGAAAACTTAATAAACTTAGACATAACCTTATTGGCAGAAAAAGCACCATAGAGTACTTAATAATATTCCTCCCGAAACACTGGATGATACGTTTCTATCACTTCAACAAGTTATGCTGGAAGCAGTGTCGAACGATGGCTCCATAATTTTTCACAAAATAAAAATTAAGAGAAATATTTTTTTATTTATTTTTTAATTTAATCTGGTTTTTAGATAATAAATATTGGATTCTATATTTACTTTCTTTTGCTGCTATTATTATAGGACAAATTAAATTCATTAACTGCTGTTATTATTATGGGACAAAGGGACTAAAATGGGAGAACAAAAGTGACAAAACAAAAGGACTAAAATGAAGTTACAAATAAGTAATTTTGAACGTTCGGTTCGCGGAACACAACTTTCAGTTTCAAGTTTAAACTGCCAAGTAATGGTTCAACGCTCTCACTTAGGTTCTAAATAAAACAGAAAAGAACTTTCAATAGAATTGGAAACAAAAAAGATACAACTTTAATACTATATTGAAAACTCAAAATCGATATTTTGTCCGAAACTGATGAGATGTACTGATATGTTAATTAATTTTTAATTGCTTGTTAAGTCAGTATTAATGACACATTGATTATGAATGTTGCCTTTTGATGAATAATTTTCTCTTACGAAACTCTTTGAGTTTATGTTTTTATTTCAGGTGGCAAAATCATGGAGGAGGAAAGGATAGAATTCGAGAGAGTCAAAAGCAAATTAATTGAAACTGAAGCTCGTTATAGACATTTAGAAAGTATGTTGGAATCTAGAGATAAAGATCTAAGCAAAGTGAGGATAATATTTTAGATTATTATTCTTGAATATTTACGTCAGTGTAATGGAAAGCTCTAAATAAAAAGTTACATAGAGAAAGAAACACACGTTTAAATTCATGTTATGTCGAGATTTCATATGGGTTGTCGTAGAACAGTAATAGCGCAATAAACATAGAACGTACGTTTCTAAAACAAGCCATTCAATTTTTTTCGTGATTAATTACTGCGAATTTTATTTTGTAAATTCTCATTGTTATATCATTGGTGAATGAACAGTAAATCTACAGGAGTTGGACTGTGAAACTAAAACATATGAGGAATGTAGCGTCCAAAATTCAAACCAGCTTATGCATTTCTGATTGGAAATGCTAAATGATTATGAATTTTACAAATAAGAGCCACCCACGAGCGGTCGAGTTGTAAAGTCGCTGAATATTGGTAGTTCGGTCTGGGGTTCGAATCCCGGCAAAAGGGCTGCCTGCATAGACGTTTTCGTGGTTTTCCTCATGTGTAACGTGTATACAACTCAGTTTCCCTTAGAAAGTCCTCCACTAAGGCATCCCTTCCCTTAGGCAGATAGCCCTTAAGTGCTATGCCATAATCAAATAAACCAAACCAAATAACAGCATCGCCGTGATAAGTACGGTGGTAAGCGTTTTTGATTCCCGTATCATTTGGCGAAATACCCTTATATGCGGTCAGGTCGTAAATTTAGAACCCCTGTTTTCACAGCGGGGGCTGAAAAGTAGGGAATAATCTTGCTTGTGGTCTTGGGGGTCGTTTAAACATCTAACTTCTCTACATTCAGTTTTATACAGAGGAAAATACAAATTGAATTCTTCGAATGAATGCAATTTTGTACAATGAAAATGTATTACTTAATGATAAACTCTAAGATTAACATCTTTTTTTAAAGCCATAGGTGTAGAAAGACAGATATTTGTTACACGAATGAATTTGTAGTAAATATTGAGTTTTTCATTTCGAATGCTATGTTCCATGTATGCGAAGTAGCTGAGTATGCGAGATAAAAATAGTCATAATCGACCAAATGGCTTTCAACCTTTTCACGGCTAAGGACTGTTTCTCAATTACATTGTGGTCGCTGCTTTTTGGTTAATTTTCTAATGACATATAAACAATAGTTGTTTTTATTTGAGACTTATGAATAAAATAACGCAAACTAGACTGCAGAAAATTCTTAAGAAGGAAGTTAAATAATACTGAAAAATACATTATTGATGCACTTTTGTGTTTTAATATGTAGTAGTATTAACTACTACTATAAATCCTTAAATGGAATCCTTAAATTATATATACATGTATCTATGTGTAGGTATATATAAATGGAACCAAAATATAGAACAAGGTATAAAATATCTTTATAGCCTTACTATACAATGTTCATTACCATACGTATATTTACGTAATATCAATATAAATAGTTAGTCTAGGTTTCGTACAATAAGTATAATTTATTTTTATATTTTGTATTTGTTGTATTAGATTCAGTATTGTATACGTATCTGAAGTTTAATTTGTTCTCTTTTTGCGTTACGACTTTAAGTGAGAAAGAATTGTTAGGGCCTTCATAGGGATTACATTATTATACAATCAGTTAGGATCCTAATTTTCCTTTCTTTTAATCATTATATATATTGAAATACTACTTGATAAGTATACTTAAAATATAGCAGTTTTTAAGCTACTTATTTATATATCTATTGTTTGGTCTGGTTTGTTTGATTATAGCAAAGCATTCGACGGTTATTTGCCTAAGGGTAAGGGTGCCTCGTGGAGAACTTTCTAAGCAAAACTGACTCTTATGCACGTTACACGTGGGGAAAACCTCGAAAGCCAACACAGCCATCCCCGTCGATCCGGATTCGAACCCCGGATCGACCTGCCAGAGTTCAACGGTTTTACAGCTCAGCCGCTAGTGAGTCACACATACACACATACACACATATACATTAAATAGTATTTACATGTCGTTTATAAAGTATAATTGAGTGCAATTTAATCATAAAGAGAAAATATTCTACGGAATTACTTCACTTCGTAGACTTTTTGCTAAGCTTCACCATATTTCTTAAAGAGAATCACAACGCTGATTCCATTTCCTAGACCTTTATGTATCTTATTTTTTTCTACACTGAATTATATTTAGAAAATTATTTCACTTGGTTATAGCTGAAAATGCAGTTTTTTTTATTGAAGAATTTAAGGGTGAGAAGAGAATTATGCCCTTTTCTAATTATTCTTGAAGCATTTAATTTTTTTTTAAAAAAAAAAGCGCACATTAATACGGATCACTGAACTAAAGTGCTCGATACAGGACAGATTAATTAGCTGCTAAATTTTGATTTTCGTTGAGTAAAAATGAATTCATCTGCATTCTATAAGAAAGCAAATATTCAAGATTTTTTTTTTTCCCTCGATTCTCGCAGTCATAATATTTTTCTTAAGTATTCAGCTAATTCATATTCAAATATTCCAATCCATTACAATAAGTAATAAATCGATACAGTAAATAAATAATTAAAATCAATTAAATGGAATTTTAATTGATTTTAATTGCCATTTTCCCTCTGATAAACCCCTCTTTAGAGTTCAATAGCAGTCGATCAGCTTTTGTTGGGGGTTCATATTCCTTTATGGTATGCTTACGTTATATATGTATGTATTATGCATTGCTCATACTCGTCAATTGCAACTTTTAATATCTCTTGGAAAAAAAATCAGTATGGGAATCCAGAAAATGATTCTTAGTGACTCTAAAACTATTATTACTAGGCATTGTCATTGCACAGTGTTTAAAAAAAAATCCCATTGTTTAAAGGTAGATCCTATGCTTATATCCTAGTCTACAATTAAAAGCTGCGAGTCAAAATTAAGGGAGTTGCTCTTAGGAAGCCTTAATTAGAAGTAGTTATAGGAAATGTTAATCAATACTTATAATCTTACGGATTAAACACTTATTCCCTATTTGATCACGTGTATGGCAAACAGATATTCGTCATTCATAAAGAAAAGAAAGGTGAATCAAAATGAGTTATATTCTTTGTTTTTCCAACTGCAAAAACATCTTAAGATACTATCGGATTTAATCTTTAAATTATTCCAGTAATAATCAGAACAATGGGGGCCATTATTCTTAACTATAATTTACTAATGCAAATCCTAATTTGGTTTCAAATGGCTTTCATTAATTACGTTAATGATATACTGATGCTGAATGAGACCTAAAAACACTTTTTTTTAAAATATATCTTCCCTTATGATCCCCGACACAGCCGTTTACTTTCCCCTTCCGTAATTAACGTCAGTCTCCTGCTGTTGACCGCATTTGCCAAGCCACCCATTTGGCCGAGGTTAGAATCCCGGAAAAGGCTCGGATGTAGTTAATTGTATACTGATTTCTGTGCGGAAAAGTACTTAAAATACACGGGAAGCTGAAACTTCTCTCGGGTGACTTGGTGGTAGTGAAAAAAGGGTGGAAGACCATTGGAACTGGCCCCCTCGGATTCTTCTTCGAAATTGAAATGGAACTCAGCATAGTAATACTTTCATCTCTTAAATGTCAAAAGCCCGATAGTGGCCGAGCAGCAAACATTGGTAGTGTGGTCCAGGGTTCAACTCCCGGCGAACGGGATGATTGCATTGGCGTTTTGGGGCTTTTCCAATGTATAAAGTGTATACGAGCCAGTTAAGTGCCAAAGTCTCATGCCAACGACAGACGCAATTCTACATTCCTAGCCATGATAAAATTCATGGACTTGTTCTAATGTTATCATCAGACGAGTGAGATGAGTTTCAGTAACAGCTACGAGTGAAGTGACGAACAAGTGACTTCAAACGCTGAAAATTTATGGAAAATAATTGAGGCATTGATTTATGTATCTTTTACCAGGACAGCGGATCTCTTTGATGTATCGAAGGCTACATTGTCTAGGCTCATGTTTTGTACACCTTGTAAGGTTATTATTTAAATTAGCCAGTTGTTTATAATTTCAGCCTTTATTATAATTTCTGCTTTATGTTTCTTCACCAGAATACAAATGAGTTAAACCGATGTTTTGGGATTTTAAGAGAGAGCGTGTTTCTGGCCTGCGCGTACACACTACGTTTCGTTCCTGCCAGCTGTGATGGTTTTAATTATTTGGCTTTGCGGAATATTCGCTGCCGGCAATTTGATTTTGATACTCACTGTAGAGTTACTGAGTCAGCTTAGAGTAAAATTTACACTGGTGTGCAAAAATTAAGGACGAAGTCGAAAAATTAGCATATCAGCTGAACGAAGAGGCAGAGCGGACAGAAAGACCAATCAGGAGATTAAGTAAGGTGATGTACGCTAGCACATGCGGAGATATGCAGGTAGACGTAATGGGGGAGTGTCTGAGTAGTATAAAGCATGTTGTCGGTGTAAGATCAGTATTTCTGGCAAAGAGATTGCACGCCGTATAGCAGTTAAAATCACACCGAGTTGCTGCCTCAGCGAGAAATGGCGAATAATCAATCTGTTAGACGACATCTGGATGCTTTTACCCGAGGTCGAATCATTGGGAAGTTGGAGGAAGGCCGCAGTGTGACAAGTGTGGCTGCAGAGTTCGGAATTGCTCACAGCATCGTTTCACGACTTTGGAGACAATTTCAAACTACAGGAACAGCTATCCGGGGGTTTAGTAGTGGTCGTCCACGAGGAACCACACCCGCAGATGACCGGTATATTGCCTTACAGGCCAGAAGAAACAGGCGGCAGACAGCGGGAGAAATCGCTAGACACACGACACAGGCGACTGGACGACCGATATCGCGTTTTACCGTGGCCAGAAGACTGCACGGTGGTGGTCTGTTTGCACGACGCCCTGTACGGTGTGTACCTCTAACGCCTGCCCATCGGAGAAGGCGTTCTCTGTGGTGCCGGGAACACCGGAATTGGAGAGACAATGAATGGGGACGAGTACTCTTTACAGATGAGAGCAGATTCAGTCTGAGTAGCGATTCTCATCG